GAGAGAGAGAGATATAGAAAGAGAGAGACAAAGACATTTTTCAGCAAGAAAGTGCTTTGAAGTCACAGAAAATTCCATGAGTTTCCTGTTAACGTGCCTAGGGTATAATGTGAACCAGGACTCTCTCTCTCTCTCTCTGTGCTGTGTGTGTGTGTGTGCAAGGAGAGGGAAGTCTTCCCAGTCAGTCTCTCTCTCTGCTGTCAAGAAGGGATAACATCAGTGTAGTCTTTGCTGTCCTTTTTGAGATTCATGTCAGATTTGGTCCACAAGGATACGGAATGCTTGAGCCTTTAATGGGGTTTTGAATCTGGATTCAAAATATGGAGATTTCTCAGTTTGGAGTTTTGTGACTGACGATCAAGAGCTTTTAACTCTCAAATTACTTTTAAACAGCCGCTAAATCCATGCAACGCTGCTGCCTAAGAGTGGTGAACACAGCGCTGCACAGATCCAGAGGAGGATTTGTGAGCTGCTAATCAGTTGCAGCTGATCAACAAACCAACAACTCAGCTGTATCAGTAAGGATGTTTCATTTCTGCAACTCACACTGGCCTCTGCTCCTGTTTGTTGCCCTGTGGAGCCTCAGCTACCCGAGTTTGCTTACCGCCTGGCCTGGCACTAGTCGAAGCAAGCCCAAGGATCAGCTGGACCCTAATGTAAGGGACTGGGGAGACTATTCAGACCTCCCTCCTGGATTTGAGCAGGGGTTGGGGTTGGACGAAGATGGAGAACATGGAGACAACAGAGGAATTGGAGGGTCATTATCAAGCCTGACACCGGAGCAGGATTTCCTAGCTGACTTTGCAGGCAAGACAAATGAACTGATCAGCTGATGTGTCTATTTGACTGTCTACCTACTTACCATACCTACACCACCCTTCTCCCCTCCAGGTAAAAAGCGACTGTGGGTGATAACAGCACCATCACATAATGATCACTACCTTCGTATGATGGAGAAGCAACTGGAGGACATGGAACAGGTACAGTATTGACAAATATATACCATATTGATTTAGAACGAGAAGTGTTTAATTTAATCTGGGAAACTATTAGGAATTTCACACAGGTTTTCTTTCTGTCTCTCTCAGAAATGGCTGAACTGCCGTCTAGCAGAGAGAGACACATTCATCATCACCATTATCCAGAACGCCATGATGGAAGGTCGAATCCAGAAAACAACTTTCCAAGGAGAAGCTACAGTAGAGAGCCTGGACCCCGACACAGTAACCAACCTTCTGCACTACCTGGAGCTGACCAACCAGGTAACCAGTTCTACCAAGAAGATATACAAAAGTAACAGCCTATTTGAATTCTTTTAATTTAAGATTGTCTGTTTCTCCTTTGTGGGTTCCTCCACTTGACTTGCAGTTGTTATACTACACCAATTGTTTCAGGAGCAAGGGTTCACGATGTTGGTTCTGAAGAAGAACCTACGGGTCAGCGAGCGCTTCCCTTATCCGGTCCGCGTTGAGGCGATTTTGGAGCTCATTGATAATTTCCCAATGAGGAAACTGGAGAAGATGACCAGAAAAGGATCCAACCTGAGGTTCTACTATATGACTGTGTCATTCATTGTAATCTAATACAGAGCTGAGGAGGGAAAGTTATTCAGTCTAAATTAGATTAGATTAGATTAGATTTTTTAATTAAAGTGGTGCTTTTTGTAGGAAGAATGATCAACATTTCAAAGAATATGAAAAAAGTGAGCAAAACGATGAACATTTAACTGATTATCTGCATTGTGCATTGCTATGAGTGTATTATTGGGTGTAAAATTACATGTCAAGCTAAGCCATTTTTAGTGACGCTAGCAGCATAGCTCTATGGGTGGCAATGTTGGTGGTTGGTTGGTCAGCACCAGTTTAGTCCAACCAGAAATAACATTTAGGATTTTGAATGAAATCTCTAAACAATTATTGAATGGATTGCTGTGAAATTTGGTGCACACATTCATTACTACCTTTTAGCGATCCTCACCAATTTGTGTAATATTACAAATTACATTCTCATTGGCCTCAGCTCTACTTTGGGTTTTGTGTTAAATAGCAAATGTTAGTATGTTAACTAAGATGGTAAACCTCGTAAACATTACACCTACCAGGCACGTTAATATTGTCATTGTGAGCATGTTAGCATTTAGCACGTGGCGTGGCTGTAGACATTTGGTCTTGTTATTTATGCTGGCCAGTATAGCACAAATGAGTCACATAAGGCTTTGCAATCTGTAAAACACCCTATTAATATTAAAAAGTATGCAATCTTGCTCCTGCATCAGCTTCCACCATTTTAATCATTAATCTGAGTTGGGCAAAAGCAATCAAGAAATAACTGATGGAAGATGTTAATGTGTGTCATCCATTACATCCATGTAATTTTTATTTATTCAGGTGTAAAACCACTAAAAAGAAGGTGAAGGTGAAAAGGAAAAAGATGAAGAAGAAAATAGTGCTGAGCCCTCAGAGGCGAGGGAATGTGACTTCTGTTGTGGCAGTACAAAGAAAACCTCCCCTGGACAAAAAAGCTGCCCTGAAGAGTAAGGTCCAGGATATACTGAGTGGGCGGTCGAGGTTTGTTATCCGTAAGGTGCCAACTGTGAGCTCCACAAGGGGAAACGACTCGAGCAGTGGTGGTAATGGACAGAAAAAAGTGCACGGCCTTCCACCTGTGTCAAAGAGCAGTGAAGAAGTGAAGAAAGACAGGTGCCGGCTTCATATTTTTTGTCAGTTCTTCCAAACGCAGTAGACATAAGAGTGTCGATGTTTGATTTATTTCACTTAAACCCTGCTAAGATTTTGTGCTCCCATCTGGTATGTTGGGCCTCCTCACGCCTTACACCAGTCTTAGTGCTGGATCAACATCAAAGTCATCTTTTTCTGTTCTACTGCAGGCCTGACTCCACTTTGGACGAAGGAAAGAAAAGACAAGGAGGAAAAAAGAGTGAAGATAAAAAAGAGGAGAATATAAAGGAGGATAACCAGGAAAAACACAGCTCCAAGAAAAGGGGTAAAGGGAAAAAAGGGAAAAGAGGGAAAGGAAGAGGGAAAAAGTCCAACAGAGAGGCCAGTGAGAAGGATAAAACAGCCCTGAAGGAGTTTTTGGACAGTTTAAAGGGGACAAGAAGGTTAATGGTGAGAACTTTATCTTTTATTTGCCTTTTTTGCCCTATCTGTTATTCTTAGAGTGGCATCTACATTAAAAATGGATAATGAAACATTGGACACCTTCCTATCATCCATTTGGATTGACTATATATGTATCTGTTTATGTGTGCATTGTCCTGGTACTAGCTGATCTCAACACCCAGCATAGACGCAACACTGTACATCCAGCAGAGAGAGGAGAATGAGAAGCAACACTGTGACCTTGCTATCAGGAAGATCTCTGTGGCAACCATAGTGGGTGAAGGAAGTGATGCCACACTCACGCTACAACACCACCAGCTTGGTAGGGAGAGTTTGTACCTTTCTGTGTGTTTATAATGTGTATAATTTGGTATGTTTGAATATTTGCATCTAAAACAATTGGTTCTCTCCAGGTTAACTACTATTTTAATATTCTGAACCAAAAAGAGGAACACATTGTATTTTGTTACTAAAGCGTGACAAAAGGCAAATATGGTACTTCCATCATTACAGCAGCAGAGGTTTAATGCACTGTGAAGTACAACAGACCATAACTGTTGTGACAAGGATCAAACTGGTGGGGGTCCTCTTTTCTATTACTATTTAAAAAAAAACACTTCTACTGCAAACTGCTCTGTGATTGTGACATTTCTTACACAACATGTCCTGTGTTGTGTTTTTATGCTGTGGATACGTCCAAGTCTTGAGAGGCAGAAGCTGAACAACAGCTGTTTCAATGAAAAACAAGACTGAGAGTTGACAGCCATGCTAGCGGCTCTCTGTGAGGTTGTACTTAAGCTGAATGATAACATATCTTAGTTTAGTGTGATAACAATTTAACATTTGCTAATCAGTGGTAAACACCAACTACAGCTGTGGTTGATGGGAATATCAGGTCATAAAGCAAAGTATTGGAAACCCAGCACCAAAGCCCTGCCATAAATACTGTCCTTGAGGGTTATACTGTTCAAACATTGTGCAGAGGTGTTGATTCAATGTTTTGAGTCATAGTTAATGTTGTTGTGGTTGTGGGAGGTTGCATTACACTGAAATGTGTCACTGTTATTTTATCTGCTCCCTCTACATCTATTCACACACATTTATTAATATATTTCTTGTGTGTGTTTCAGAGTCAGAGCTTCCACTCAGCGACCAATCAGAACATTTCTCAGACTCAGGCCTGATCTCTCTGCTGAGGGCTGAACTCGGCCTGTCGTCCTCAGACCTTTTTTCCATGACCGTCTCAGACTATGACACCAAGCCCACTGTAAGACAGTCTCTGCTGCTTTATTTGGTTTTGATAAGCGTTCATGCTTTTGGCACCACTCTTACTCATGTTATGTTCACACCTAATCTAAAATAATTTCATTTAGTGAGAGATTTCAATAGATCCCCATTTTTAAAATCCAACCGGGTTTTTACAATATTCTTTATTCCTGTAAAGGTCACGTAAATCCACTCTATACAGTCGATTACACTAGACTTGGTTGTCTATGGGGTTTTCTTTGGTTTTCTTAGCCTAACTGGCTTTTATCTCCCCCCAGAGAGTCTTTGAGGCTCCTCCACCAAGTCCTGCTCTGTTTGAGTACATCGACAACTTTCCCTCAAGGCGCTTAGAAAAGGAGAAGGAAAGGAAGAGTCCTCCAGTCTGCTCCAAAAACAAGCAACAGCCTGGAGCTGAGGATTCTCTGCTCAGGTAGCGTACTGTAATCCAGTGCAGTATTCTGTGTATTATTACCTAATACCATGTGGAGACAACTGTTGGCTATTAGTAGTAATAATAATAATATTGGTAAGTTTAGATTTTATTAATTTATAAATATTATCACACAAAATGTGTCTCAACTCATGATGACTGAGTTCGGCTGACTCATACGTCAACATTCAAACTTACTTATCACTATTTTTATGGCTGTTTAGGTTCATGTCTAAGAGGAGACTGCTGCTCATCTCTGCTCCCTCCAAAGACGACTACTCCTTCCAACAGCAGCTCTCTGCTCTCAGTGGACAGGAGTGTCACCTCGGTCAGTGACACACCACACCACGCCAGAGCCCTACCTACTTTTAAAGATCAAACATGTAAAATAATTTTTCATATTTTTTAAATTACACAGTCTATGGTAGCCATATAGCGCCTATATCCCTTCTCTGTGATACTGCTGAGCTGATAGGCCTGACCAGTTTGAAATGTGTTCCATGCTATTACATAATAACAATAAAAACAGGTCATACATGTTCATAAATGTATTGCATTATTTGTGCTGTAATAGATTATTCTTAGTACCATGTGATCGGACACTGATCATATTTACTTAATAAGTGCTTTTGGATCATTCCTTAGGTATTCGCCATTTTGCCATGTTGAAGCTGACTGGAGTTGGAGACAAAGCATCAGGAACCGTTGAGCTTTTTCCCCTTAACGGTGAGTCACAATCACATGGAGAGATCCAGGTGCATGGGATGGTAATGGAAACAGGAACTTGGAATGTATTGCCAGTGTTGTGCATATTAATGTGGAGACATCCAACATTATTAAACCCAAGGTTTAACTGTGTTTTTCAGGATTTCTAGTTGTTTTTTTTAATCCATTTTCAAGTTATTTTGTTTTTCCTCTTTAAGGTCGTAGTCAGAGTGAAGTTGAGCCTTTATCCCGTGACACGGTCAACAACCTGAGAGAACAGCTAAAGATCAGTAAGGACTATTTCAACATGCTGGTTGTGGGGAAAGATGGCGATGTCAAGGCGTGGTTCCCATCACCCATGTGGTCTCTGGATAGCATCTACGACCTGGTGGACTCCATGGAGCCCCGCCTCCAGGAAGAGAAGCTGCAGAGGAGACTGGGGATCTACTGCCCTGACGACACAGGGAGAGGAGGCAGCGAGGAGGGGCATTATCACAGCTATGATGAAGGCGGGACGGAGGAGACGTACTCGTATCACCGGTCAGAAGAATGATGAGAAGAAGGGAGGAAGAAGATGCAGGGCAATGAGGAAGAGCTACCTAAATCCTTATGATGGCAGGGCAAATACATGAACTCATGGATTACACATAAACAAACTAATAAACAAAAACTCATCTTCAGGACTCACAGGATTCAGTTTATACTTTCTAAATAGGTGATGATGCATCTTCTGGACACCACAAAAATAAGCTGGATATTTTAAGTATAAATAAATTAAATACATTTGAAAAACAGAGCAAAAATATCAGAATGGTTTCATATATGAAAGTCTTAATGAAAGCAGTGTGTCCTTCCAATGTTTTCTTAAAACAAAGTTGCTGCTCTCTTATTATTTGCTGATTATGCCAGTGAAACAGGAAGAAGTCCATCCAAGGCCGAGCAGGTTGTGCTTTTTGGCAACACTTCTGTCCAATCTTTATCAAACACATTCACTGTGTAAAGTATACAAATGGAAAGTTCCTTTGTTGAAATGTAATTCTGAAACTGAAAGTATATTTGAAGGGAACCAATGTGCTTTTGTTTAACTGTTTTTTTTTAAAGAGCAGCCATTTTCAGACACCTTAGGGTCAGTAAAACAAAGAGTTATTGATGACATTTTTTATTTTAACAGTTCTTTAAAAAAGTTTAATTTAACTTGTCTACAAAGACTGTCAGTTGTTTAATGATATCAGTGTGCCCTTAACAGATCTTCTGTAGTCACTTTTCTACAGTTGCTACAGTTAGAATACATGAAAAGTCATCAAATGCAATACAAACAAACACCAAAATATAATTTTATGTTAAGGAGAAAGATTTATTTCATATAGACAGCATTCAGTTAAAAAAACACATACTATATTATACGAGCAATTTAGCTCCCTATTTATACATCTTCAGATCAGAGCCAGTAAAGAGAACAGTGAACAGTAATGACATGGCAGCACTGGAAATATCCTACAGCAATGCTTTAGTAAAATCATCAAGATGAGAAGATACTCAGACTCATTTCAGGGGAAATGTATCTGTGAAAGTGATCAACGAACATCACACATGTATAAATGTGGATTTTAATTTCTGCAAGTTTAGCAGCATCTTACAGTAAGAAAGAGGGAAGTAAAAAAAAGCTACATATTTACTTTTTTTATATCTAGTAAAATGTTGTAGTAGGAAAATGTGAATTTGTCTGTAAATTAACTCTAGTCATTTGTAAATTGAGGTAAAGATATATTGAAAAATATGTTGCTGCTACTGATACCAATTGAAGCAACAGACTTGAGGTCGCGTAGCTCACACAGATAACAATAATAACGTTTGGAGGCAAGAGTACAGAAAGAGTCAAAGAAAATGTAAAAATTGAATATAGCAAAGTGAATATTCATCCTTTGCTTTGTCAGTATCCACAATTGTAAAGCATTTTTGTTTTGAATGTGATATGATATGTATATGTTTTTAAAAGAAACTGTACTTAAACAATGAGAATAAACAATTTACAGGTACAAGGGATGTTTGAGTTACAGGGTTATTGCACAGAAAACTAAAGTTTCAACTTTTTTCGACAAAAAAATCTGTTCAATATCCATCTTTCACAAACAGTAACAAAAATATCACTTCAGCAATGAAAACAAGATCTGAAAGTACAAAAACAAAATACCTGTGATAATCAATAGGAAGTCCACTCTACTGTTTTTTCCTTGCTGACCTACACAATTAGTTGAGATGACACACTAGGACAACCATGCCATCCACTAGGGGGACTGCTTAGCTCTCTTTAGGTCCTCTGAGGTTAAGCTAGCTACTTTCTCACAGAAAAGCACCTGTTGACACCCTACTATTGTCTGCTTTTATTATTATTCAGGGAGATCACAACAGCCTGGTGTTATGTATGTAGCCAAAGTGACTCAGCCCAGCAGTATCCTAAATCAGCCTAAATGCAGAACAGAGTGAGAGTCCTTTCCTTTCTAATTCTGGATGCTGACACTGAACCAAAGCTTGCCAAGTCTGGCCACCACATGATGCATACTACTAAGGTTGTTGCCAATTATTGTCACATTTTTTGTTCATCACTTTATAATGTATACAGCATTTGATATGGTTGCTAAGGAACAAGTATCACAGTGGTTTGTCTGTTGATCTGCCACAGCATGAGCGTGCATCAGCTGTTAAGAACAGAAGAACAGAGGGGGAAATGCTGGGTGTTTGCCAGGGATAGGCAAATCCATGAGATGAAAACACACAGATAACAAAAGCGGTGAGGCTCACGCTCACACAAAACACACACTACTAAGAGAGGAAGTAGTCAAGCAGTTTGGTCATGTCACCGACAGAACTGGAGTATACATCCCCCGCACAGAAACACACTCTCACACACTCAATGCTTTGTCACACTCTGTCATTCACTATCTCTCAGTACCTTTCTCTCTTCGACAGCAACAGAAACTCACACAGATACACTGAACAAACACACTCTCCACTACTTTATACACCAACCCCTCGGACATAGCAGAGGTGCCTGGGAGTGTTGCTCTCAATATGGTGAGTACAACTTAACTGTCAACTAAATTTAAATTTAAAAATCACTTTGTAGATATCAGAATTACTCTGGAGTGCCAAGATTTTCTGAAAGTAAGCTGCTATTAGAAATCTTTGTAGTCAGTAGTCGTTCTTTCTTGTACACATAGATTTGACATTGCCATATGTCGGAGCAGGTTATTGCATGTATGAATAGAGAGGAAACATTGTAAAATTTAAATTGTATGCTACAAAGTGCTTTCAGTTATTCTAATATATGGTTTAAGACCCATGAGCTTATTTTGATTTAATTTTATTTTTGACGTTCAAGGCATTTTGTGTTATTTCTTTACACATATTATGTAAAAGCACGAGAAGTCACCATTTGGGTTTTTTTGGGTTTGTGTCAACTAGATTGAGCAAGAGTTTAGCCTCCACTTTTCATCACACTGGAAATAGAAATAATGGTTCCTCTTTGCTTTGACCAAAAGACCTCATTTTTCATTCTCTTCTCAGCAGGTTATTGGACTTGAAATGTTCTTGTGCTTAATGACAGCACAGACTAGTATTTTCATTTTTATTGCAGTAACTAGAAACCTATTCATCCAGCAGCTGACGTGTCTGTGGTCAAGGATGTGGTTCTCACCTCTCTCCGTCCATTTCCACATAATAAGAGTAACACCATACTAAAATAATTAATTAAATGACGGGGAAGCCCATATAACCTGTACTGTTTTACAGAATTGCAACTGCAGAAACATTTAGAGAAGCAGTATTTGCAACTGTCTGGTATAGAACATATTGAGTAATTTTTACTGCGGTTTGAGAAACAGAAGCATAATCAGGAAACTTTTCACCGTTTCTTCCCTCCTGATTACATATTTAGCCACATGTCAGCCTTCATTTTAACACACTTTATTATGCCACCACTGCAAGATGTTACTGGCAACATTAAAGTGCCTCTCCACCCTATGACGCCTCCGTTGGCTTGAAAAGTGGGTGGTAAAAAGTTGAAAGTCTCAACAAAGTGAGCAGCAGTGGATAGCTTGACACTTAGCGTACGTTTTCAGTGAATGTATGACAGATACAATGAATTCAAATTGTAACTAACATTATCCACTTCTCCATTGTCTGTTCATATGTCCAGCATGCTATAATAGCTTCTGGGTTACGTTAATGCAGTGGTTCCTGCGGACCCATATTTGAAAAGATGTAGTCTCAGGAATCCTCGTCGATAAGATTTAGTTATTCTATAGCTGTCTATACTGCTGGCAGTGAAGACTGTGAAACCTATAAACAGAATAGTCATTCTCATAAATTCTCTCAGTGTGCAAACTTCTTGTCAATGAAACAATAATGCAATTAAAAGATTCCTGATGACCCCGTAGAACCCCTGTAGGACCCCAGGTTGCATTAAAGGTTAAAATAATATTATTTTATGGTAGGTCAAATTTTTCCGCAAAAAGTATTGCAACCTCTCCTTTGGCCTGGTGGTCTCCTGTGACAGCTATATCAAAGAAATGCAGGATGGTGCACTTCTTTGTACTTCCTAACACTGGATATAGGCTAATCATGCCCACACACACAATCTTTTCTGCCTCACTTAAGTTCTCCGTTTCTTTAAGTATGGAAAATGGTTGAAAATGAAAAGAAGCAAGTCCCACTGTTCCCCACAAAGGACATGGGTTAAAACGTGTATTTTGAAAGTATATATAATATATAAAGTTAAGACTCTCATAAAAAAACATCCTTGAGAACAGAAACAATATATGTTCATAAATTTGATCACTTATCTCCCTTACTGCCAAAAATGTGTTTGCTGTAATTCCTGCCTTTTTGACAAGACAAAATGTGCTTTGTTGGCCCTCACCCTGTGTGTTACATCACTAGAAAGCCCAGGATGTCCTCTTCACACACCCTTAAGACTCAAATAGTCTAAATGCATGGTGTTTGAAATAAAAGCCTCAGTATCATGTCTCCCACAGAGGACAATTAACAATTGCTGGTGAACATTAATGTAGCAGCAAACAAGTATTTGCCATGTAAAGATAAAGTTGAGTGATGGCATCCTCAGTGGAGAACACACACTCCGTCTGTGGGTGGTGTTGCGTAAGCTGCTCTGTTCATTCCTAATACAGCTGTCCCAGCAATATGTACCTGTGAGTTCTTCCGTATGAAACTGTTGGCTTTGACTGAAATGGCTGTTTGTTTTCTTATCTACCTTTGTGAATTAAATCTTCCTTTTGACCAAACCTGAGTTGGTGGTTGTTGGAACAGTGGAAAGACTAACAAAGACGGTTTAGGTGTTTTTTATTAAGAAGAAGTAAAGAATCTTACGCATTAAAAAAAAAAAAAGGTCTATCTCTGTAGGGATTATTTCCATAATGAATAACAATCCGAGCCTGTCAGTGGCAAAATAAAGCACTTTTAGTGGACATACCTTAGCAGGTGCATTTAACACCAAGGATTATGTTGCAGCAATTGTAGCCTACTTACTGAATTAAGGGTTTATTTTGAACAGTGGAAAGACAAAGATGGTTTCAGTGAGTTTTATTTAGTTTCTGTTCAGAGTGAAGTGCGTTTTTACGATTATCAGTGAGGTACAATTACTGGTTTTGTCATTCTAGTGGACTGTAGTGGATTTGTTTTGGTGTGAGATGCTGGTGCTCTGGTGCAACATCTAGTGGTGGCGTATTTTGTATATATATCGTTAAATATATTATCATTATTATATAATACTAAGCCGGGGCGAGCGGGCAATATATCCAATCTCAGCAATTTCTATGGACATAGCTAATGGCAGAGGCAAAGAGACCTAAGAGGAAGCTGGAGGAAGCTAGGAATAGAAAAGAGAGTGACCAAGCATGAACCTGCCGAACAGGAATAAATGTCGGACTGGCTTTTAGTCATTAGCAGCTTCTGAAATAAAAGACTGCAGACTGACGTTGAGCTGGCCTTCTTCCTATTGCTACGTTTTGCATTGTTGCACTTGCTTGATGTTTGGCTTTGTTAGCATAGTTGTTGACTCCTAGTTTTTGGACACAAGTAATATAATCATAACAAAAAGTACAGATGTCAGTATTTTTGACAGTGGTATTGCAATCTGAAACTGGGGGTGCCTAATTGCATACCAGATCTTAGTGTTGCTTTAATGCCCATATAAGACTGAGAGGCTCAAACTGAAGAAGTGGTTGTAGCCATATCTTGGATGACAGACAAGTCCGTGGAACTGGTTTAAGAAGGTCAGAAGAATTGGCAAAGCTGCAAAATGTTCAAACTGGACATTGTTTTCCCAACAATTTTCCATAGTTATGTTTAGGCAACACAAAGCACCTGGTATCAAAGATCATTGTTTGATCATCTTTTTCAATATTTAACCGAAACAACAGTATTTTCCTACAACTTCTATACAGTAATTTCTCTCTTAAACATACCGTATAAACTATAAACAATTAACACTGTATAATCAGGTGTCAGGAGGAGACAAGAATCTTTAATCTTCATATTCAATTTATTTGTGCAGATTAAAAGAGCTCACTGGTGAGACCTTATGTGATACTAGACTGTAGAAATAGTCTGTAAAATAATAGTTTGTATTTTCCATCACTCACAAACATCATACTGAGATTAAGTTACAATAACACACAGTAGCTTTGTTTCTCGACTGGCAACTAAATGCCTTGGTGAAAGTGTTTTTTTTTTTTACACTTACTGTTACAATGTTCAAGTTGGGTGTTACTGTGTGAAATACATGTTAGATCTGACATTCATTATACTTCCCATTTAGCTTAATATAGTGCATTTGTACTTTCCGTTGTACAATTTTCCATCACTTTTACTGCTCTGCTGCAGGAATAGCAGTGGCTGTGTGTCCTAGCGCTCTTATCTCCACTTCCTGGTATGGTGTCTCTGTCTTCAGTCAAACCAGCCTGATTAAAATAGGTGTGTCTGCTGTTCGGCCAGTCCTTTGTGACATAACCGCACGATACTGAATCAAACTCCCCCAACATCTGACCACTCTGCACACCTCTGGGCGCTCATTGGACACACTTTCAGATTCCAGATGTGTAAATGGCTTATCGATGCATGTCATAGCCAAAGCAACACTACAGAACTTTCACTATAGACTTATAAGACTAATAAACAATCAAACTGCAACAATATACCTTTTGTTTACCTACACTGGAGAATGTGAACAAGGTATATAATTAACCAATGATAAGCCAGTAACGCAATACAAGCTGTGGCCTGAAAAGTAATGAGGCTCTTTATATACCCGTTACCTGCAGCAATTAACCTATGTTTGCTCAGTAGTAAATGTTTTCACCACTGAGTTTATCTACCATATTAGAATATGCTTTTACCTTTTATCGTTCTCTTTTCAAATATCACATTTGCTTTTCATTTGTACATTTTAATTTCACATGAGGTAGTAACATGAATTTGATGCCCAGTTCTCATCTTCGTAGGCTACATTACCCACATACTCACAATAATTTCCATATCACAGAATGGAGCTTTTAATTTGATAAATGAAGGGAGCTCTGTTATATAGATTACAGGACTTTGGCTTTTGGTTGCCGATGGTGCTTAGAGTACTCTTATCACAGAGATAATTCAGTGATGAAACACAACCATGGGAAGCTCCTGATTATCTTGTTATGTTAAGTGGTATTACTTTCCTGTTAAAACCATTGAGAACAATGTTGTTAAAGTTGATAAATTACTTTTTTTTGATAGAGGCAAATTTGATGTAAACACAAACATTTTACTGAGTGATGGTGATAAACACATAACTTGCAACTTTCTGTTTCTATGTAATTTTTTATGTCAGTCTATTGAAGTGTGCGTCTTGTTTTCGTTTATTCCTCTTTTTGCTTTCGTCCGGCAGTTTCTGTATCTGGTTTGGGACTTGTGTTTGCTGTTGTCATTTTATGCTCTGGCATGCATGTCACATCCTAATTTTATTTTCAATTTTGGTTTTCTTATCCTGGTTATTAACTCCCCTTCTGGTCCTCTTCCATTCTTTCCAGCAAAACAAATCTGATGTGAAGGCCATCATGGCTCGCTTCCAAGCGAGTGGGGCCAGCACTGACGAGACTTCTTCCACACCACCGGCTGGACGTATCAAACCACCCCTGCACCCCACCCTCTCCTCCGGGCCGCCCGTACAAACCAAGAAACCTGTCTTGGAGAGCCTCTCAGGCAGTGCAATAAATGTGCCTCCTAAACCCAATTTCCTGAAAAATACAGTATCATCCAAAAGTGACACAGAGGCACATGAAAACAAAACTAAAGCCCTGGTTAGCAGGTTTGGAAACGCACAAGATGAAACCAGCACCAATAGCAAACCTTTCCTTGCTAATAAACAGCACCTGGCCTTGAAACCAACAATTTCACAAGCTCTTGAAAATAAAGGCCCTGGACAGAAGCCACCTCTCAATAAGCCCCCCCTCAGCTCCACTATGTCCGACGCCAAACCTGCCATTCCTAAACCCCCTCCAGCAGTCGTCTCCAAGCCCAGTTGGGTGAAAGAAGATAGTGGTGGGGGTGTAACCGGCTCCACACCACACAAATTTCCCCCTTTACAACAAAAACCGAGCAGCAGCTTTTTAAAATTACGTCAAAATGACGAGATGGCAGGAGCTAACACGGAAACAGCGAACAAACCATTAGTTCCAGCAAACTCTACTTCTAAGCCGCCCCCCAACTTCAAGACTGCTCAGAATATGTTCAACAAGGAGAAGGACAAGACTGAGCAGTCAGACAGTGATGTGAACGCAAATGGAGCCAACAAACAGCCCCTCACTGCTACTAACTCCATCTCTCCTCCCAAACCTCCAGCCAGTAAAAAGCCTAGCATTAAAAAGCCCTCTAAGCTTTCTCCTCAGACCAGCAGCATTAATGGGGATTCCACTTCAGGCCCCAAACGTAACCCCCTCCCCAACAGTTTAGCTTTGGGCCCTGCTCCTGCCAAGCCCAACCGACCACCCAAAGTCAACCTGGAGAACTTTAAAAGAGGGGCTAAAGCCTCTGATGATGGTAAGTTGGATTTGTATTGACAGCTTTGTTTAATAGTGACACCAAAGACATATGAACAAAACTACTGATTATGAGATGATTTAACCACCAATCCATTGAGTTAATATATTTAATTATTTACAGAAATTAAATCAATTGTTAGTATGTTGCAATGCATGACAAAGTTGCTTGTATTTTAATGTGTAGTCACAGACAGAATAGTTACAGCGTACTCTAACACTCCAGTCTCAGAGATGTGTGATCACACTTTTAGGCCCACATATAAACTCTAGCAAGCATTTTCCATTTAAATTCATCAGAAAGTTCTCAGTTTTACTTTTGCAGGCCGTAAAGAGCTCTGTTAAAGGTGGCCCTTTGCTTATTTATCTACTAATTACACTTTAATTTCACAAAGTCATTTGATATTGCTGGATTGATGCTGATGTGATAAAACTATAAAGTTCTAATGGAAACCATTGCTTTATGAATCGGTAAAGTTTGGGCCTGAGTCTGAGTCTTAAGTCTAAAAACTTAACTGATTTCAAAACTGTAGAAGTCACGGTACAACTGGAGTGAACTTCAACACATTTGAAGACACACACTTGCAGTCATGCTGTGTATGTGTCATTTGTGATGACTATGTGCCAATTCAGAAAGCAATGTGTTGAACAAATGGCTTTAATTGCTATGAAATCTGTAAAGTGAGGCCGAAAGGGGAAGTTTTGGGAGAGAAATTCTGTCAGCCAGACGGGACACGTGTGTGGCCCCACAGGCATGAATACTTCCACCACAGTATCCAGCTGCATTTATTTACATCCTTTGTTTTCTATTTTGTAAAATATGTCTTTGATCCCCTGCATCATATGCAACAAATACAGGAAATCAGTGTAAAAGATGTAATTTTATATCTACCATCTGATATAATCAACACTCTCTCAATGTCAGGCACTTGCTGTCGAGAGGATCAAATGACAGAGGGTGGCAAACAGTTTGCAGATCTTGTTATAGTCTGACAAAGAGGTTGTTCCTCTTATTTTGTTGTCTCAAGTGCATTTCCTCTGTATCACTAGCGACGCTACTTTGGACAGGCTTTGTGAAAATATTTCAGAAGTGTGAAAAGACTGCCTTCACAAGTTAGTGTGGTTTCAGTGTCGTTACAGTGTGTAGCCTGCAGTTTACTTTAGGTCATTTGACCAACGCAAACAACTTATGTTTGTGCATGATAGCATTAAAAGTCAATTTATTCCATTATACCATTTTAAGATAAGTTAATGCAGCATCTGAATTTGCATTTTATAATTCTGTCTTAAATGAGTGCAAGTTAAACAGAAGTGCCTGTAAAGGCGTTAAGAGCTTCAGATAAGAGACCAAAGTCACAGAGACACTCTTGGTTCCTCTATTTGCCCCGGCTAAGTTCCCTGTCCAGTTTCTCCTTTCTCCTCCCCCCGTCACTTTCTGCTCAGTTCACCACATGGGGAAGTAAGTTCCAGCAAACAGGGATAGTTTCGAGTTAGAGGCACTGTTTTTAGACACGTACCTGATCTAAACAGATTTCCAGTCTGAGGTGAAGGCTGACTGTTGGCTGGCATGCATAATACAACGAGGCCAAATACTGGAAGACCAAAAATAACAGTTGTGATGTTGTTGCTCTTTTATTTGAATATACATTTATTGCATAACCACGGTTTGTATGACCTTTCTCAAATGTTTGGTTCCCCTGTTATGTGCTTTCCCATTCCCATTATGCACTATGTAATCTTTTTTTCCTATTTTACCTTGAAACACATGTAAGATTTTAGGGTTTAATATAAGTTTAAGGTAGTTGAACTTAAGTATTTCTACTAGTTTATGACTGCATAAATGCAATTTCACTTACACAACCTATGATGAGCTTATGCAACAATGCAACACTACTCCAGCAATGTATTAAGACATATAGTTTGCTTGGAACAATAATGTGTGTCTGATTTGAGCAAAGACATTTTCCTCATTAAAATCCTTAAAAAGGCCTCTTCTCCTCCTACCTCAGTAGAAATTCCAGCATCTATGAATATCCAAAATTAGTTTATTTCTAAATGTTTCCTGATGGACAAAATATGTCCATTCTCAGTGTGTGTGTGCACTGGTTTCTTCATCACACTTGTATAAGTTGCATACTGGACCAGAAATGACATCCAAACTATTTATAATGTCAATAATTAAGCCTGTAGGCCCCACCCTTTATAATCCACTTTCACTAGATAAGTGTGAAAACATCCTTCTAGTGTCAAACTCTGCACAGACATCATTCTGCACAGTAAAGCTTAAACATCCAGCTGTAGGAACAAGACGAAAAACTGATGTCTGAGTGAAGGGGGGCTTGTATATTTAAGTATATTTCTGAGATCTTTCTATTTATCTGTACTTGTACATTCTGTATGTGAGAGTCACTGAAGGCCACTGGTAAATACACTTATATTTTCTATTTCAATACCATATGTTTCTCTTATAGGTCCTGGCACATTGAAAAAATCTATCATCCCAACTCCTCTGGCCTCTCACCCCAGTAACCAGAGCAACCATGCGCCCCCAAGTCAACCCCCTCCGCCTGCACTTCCTAGTCTGCCCCCACGACATCCTGGATCTATGTAAGTCACACATTCGGGCACACGCAGGCACAAACACACTCACAAATGATTTATACTGCTGCTACTGTATATGTTGTCTGGGTAAAGCTGCTCCAGTTAACGAAAGGTGAACCCTGACTCTGCCTTTCAGGATACAGCAAGAGGACTTCTATGATGATGTTGATGAATTCAGCAGTGCTCCTCCTCCTCTGCCTCCATCCACAGGTACAGTATCGGTTGCTATTTGATCAAATGCAATGCATCATAACTGCCATGTTGCAAGCCATTTATGTTTTTAGCACCACATGAAGACAGAATAGGACTGTGTGATGCTGAACCTTGCACTATATTTACAAATTAGAAGACACAGATAAAAGGAAGTATATTAGTCAGTCTATTTTGGCAGTGTCTTACCGTTAGCAACTCTTTATCTTCTTTGGGTGGGGGTTGGTGGGGGACATTTGCTAAATCTGTCAATAGCTGTCTACACTCCAGTTTAGTTCTCATTGTATGCAACTCAAAATATAAACTGTTACTGTTACCAAAATACTAAAAATAGTCTGAGCTGAAGTGTGAGTCAGATCATGACGATTGTAGTTATTCCAAAAGGAACTCTTTTGTAATGTTGATTCATTGTTTCTCTTTAGGTCACCCAAGTCAGAGAGGAAAGGTGAGACACCCTGAATTACTTTTACCTACATAAATACAGATTTACATGTGCAGAGGCAGATACACGTTCAGATGAAAAGGAACACGCATGTGTGTTCATAAAGACAGTAGAGGTACATGTACAAAGCAATCAAAGTGAACAGGGAGTGCTGCTCACTGACTGAACCAGTAGCTAGTTGTTACTGCTGTTTTTACTCATGTCTTCTCTGACCCAGGGGGAAAGCGACAGTGACGGAGAGACGTATGAGGATCTTGATGAACGATGGTGAGAGAATGTACTTCATGTACATGTTTATGCTACAGCTCACCCTGTCTTCACATTTGAATCAGAAAAAAAACTACATTTACAATGTTCTCTTCACTAGTTGTAAGCACATGTTTAACAATTAATTTCTACACTTTGCTCCCTCACTTAAGCATTGGTTTTAATCCCAGTTCAACTAAATTTATGTCTACCTTTGCTAACACTGCCCTCTGGTGGTCGTTCATCAACATCTCCTTTCTATTGATGAAAATAGAGAAGCAGATAAACTTTCTTTTATTAGCAGCTTTGTCTGTTCAAGGAGTCAGTTAGGGGTCCTCACTGGGATCATTTTAAATTTAAGTTATGCATAATTTTTTGTAATTTGTGTTATCTATTATAGTTTGTATTTTACTTAAGCATGTCTAGTGATCTGCTGCAGATAAGCTTAGGCTAAAATACTATAATAAATGCCATTATTAAATAATAAATAATAAGCTGGACATTTGTTAGCTTGTGTAGGCATTTGTATTTTACCACAGCCAATTTGTTAAATTGTAAAAATAAGTCATCTTAGGAGCATCTGGTAGTCTGCCACAGAGTAAGCCACATCTTGCAAGTGCATTTGATTATCCATCAAATCTCTCACAACTTATAATTAATAATTAACTATAATCAGCTGCCAACTGTCTGTCGCTCTCGCTCTCTAAAGGGAAGCGGCTGAACAAAAACAAGAAAAGAAAGACGAGAAGGAGGAGAAAAAACGGCTGGAGGCTGAGAAGAAGGAGCAGAAGGAACGTGAGAAGAAGGAACAAGATGCCAGAAAGAAGTTCAAAGTGAGTAAACTAGACTGGAAATATCATCGAAACCTGATATGACACTTTGAAGGGATAGTTCAGCATCTGGGGAATGATATGCTTGTTGACAAAATTGATACCACTGTCATGAGATGGTATCAATCTTCAATCTTCTTGGTATGAAGGTGAATAAGCGTATTTCCCATAATATCAAACTCTTCTTTTAATAACATGTACAACACGTTCCTTATTCTGAGACCTGTTATCTATTATATACAGGGACATGCAAACACACAAAGGTCTGCCCTGCATATGCAGACACTTTGTCTGCCCCTGTTTGTAGTTACATTTGTGTCTTCTGGGACAAATATCTTCTTCTGTTAAAACCATGTCATAAATAATTTGGTTTTGTTTTTTTTGTTTGTGTGTGTTCGTCCACGGCTGTGTGTGTTAGTTGGTTGGGCCCCTGGAAACCATCCACCAAGGGAAGGCCCGTGTGGATTGCAAAGGCAGTAAGACTGACCTTGCTCTGAAGCAGGGAGACTGCCTGGACATCATACGTGTCATGGGCAACCCAGAAGGGAAGTGGTTAGGACGGACGCAGGATGGATCCAGTAGGTTCACATAATTATGCTTCATTGGGCTTCTTTTCTTCTCTTCTTTTTGCCTTTGCTTGTAGTCTTTCACCTGTCTAATTGTTTTTTCCAGTCCCATCTTTCAATTACACTTTTCAATCTTATCTTATTTATTCTCCAATCTATTCACATTTGTCTTTTATTAATCTATATTTTAGCTAAAAACATGCAATAAATTATACTCAGAATCCCAACTTAGGGAAAATAAATCAACTCAATATTTCACTTCATTGCTCTTTGTTTCTAACAGTTGGTTATGTGAAGACCACTTCAGTGGAAATTGACTTTAACACTCTGAAGAAATCTCGACCTCAGCAGGCATATGACCCTGAGGTATACGATGACATCGATGTGGCTCATTCTGATAACAGGTACCAATGATATTGAATTATATATTCTAACTAGGGACGCACAGATATATCAACCAAACATCAGTATTAGCCGATATAATCCTTGTTGACTAATGGCATTATGAAAATTTGTGTCATTCAATAACACTAGAACGCCATTGTAGTTTCATTTAACTGCGTGTTATTGATAAGTTGCCCTAAAAATGTGGGTTTTACTGCAGTTGACAGTTTCACAGCAGTTGATAATTGCATTAAAATTAGAATACTATATATAAAACATGGTTTATCAAAATTAAATTTAGATTTTTTTATTTAACTTATAATTATTTTAGAAATTATGCACAACTGACATTTTTTAAATACATTTTTAAATGTCATGTACCCCCTGCAGTAGTCTAGAGTACCTCTTGGGGTACTAGTGGCCCCATTTACTGACTTAGATAACCAGATTGATATGGTTCAATATAAAGCCACAGCAACATGCTGGTTAGTTTAGCTTAGCACAAAGACAGGAAACAAAGGACAACCATGTCTAAAAACAAATGGGAGTTTTACTTTTGGACCCTGTGTACTTTATGTATCACTTCTCCAAATTATATTGAGAAATTAAATTTCACTAAATTATTTAATGTTGATGTCAATTTTTTCTCTCTACAGTGGAATCAAAGGACCAGGAGGTATGCTTAAATTTATACAATATTATAATTCATTTCTTTATATTCAGTTTGCTTTATATTTAGTTCTATTCAGTCTTTTCATTCAGTTAATGCCCATGTTGTTTTACTGAGAATGAAATATGTCGACAGTTACATTATGTATTCGCTTTTTTTCTTCAGTTGTCTTACCACCGCTACCAGGAGACGGAGGAGAAATATATGATGATGTTATTGATCCAAACCTGGAAGTCAGGTGGGAACTGGTATATTTTTTTTTACAAGAAAAGGGTAAATAGGGAATGAGTATGTCAGTGTAATATGCTTTAAGTCTTTCGATATGAATGTTAAATGGAAATAGATACACAGGAAAGATTCAAAAATGAAACCGAAAAAGAAATGCAGGTCTTTTCATCCTTGGTTGGCTCTCTAGTCCCTTGGACTCCAGCTCTTCTCTTATGAAGCCCCGTAGCTTCCTGCGGATGTTTGACCGGAACAGACGTCCTGCCAGCTCTAAAGTGTAAAATACACTCAGTAGTAAGACTGATCACAGATCCACTGTCCACTGTTTTTGATCCCTAATCTTTCAGCCATCGCTCCCCTTTTAACAGCTAAACACTTCCTCTCCGATTAAGTTGAATGTTGATTTTCTTCCCAGATCAGATTAACCTTCCCCCCTTACTGAATAACACAGAATGATGTTCATTTGCAAATTGAAATCTAAGTGTTGTTTTTGATTACAATCAGTGCAGCTGATTATCTGTGATTTTACTAATCTTCTCGAGTCATTTGCATGTCTGTAACTGATGTATGAATGTTGACCCAATCAGAAAACGGAGGCATCACCTGCTAATGCCCTCAAAAGCATGTTTTAACAATTATACAAATTAAAATATTGTATTGTAATTCATGAATATGATTATTAACTTGGGCTGCTTTGAATCATATTAACCCACTATTAATTGATGATATTGTAATGATATAAATTATGTAATATTTGAATACGTTTTCTTCTGTTGTGCCAGAGTGCCTCCACCCAGCCAGTTTACTGCAGATGGGAATTCAGGTATAACTCACCGTGACAATAGTACCATGTTTTGAATAGATATTTTATGAAAAAAGATATTTGTTTCTCAATATTTGTCCTTCCTTGGTTGCTACAGATCTACTACTTCCATGGTGGCTAATCTTTAACTTGATTTATTTATATAGCACCTTTAAAATAGTGTTCACAAAGGAAAGACAGAAATAAAGAACAAGAATAACCAAGATAGAGGGAAGACAATGATCATGACAGATAAGGACAGTGAAAGTGATAGCTGTTTAAAAATAGATGCACAAATAGAAGAATAAAAGCTACAATACAATTTACAATAAAATAGAATACAATAAAAATATGGCTATTAAATGGGTTTTAAGATGTGATTTACAAATTTATATCTGTTAATGTTAACTTGTGTTAGCAACACACCTCTATGTTCTTTAGAGCTGATAACTGATTTTTAGTATGTGTATTCTGGTTAAAATATGTTCTTTCCAAATGCATGTTGATGTTTGGTGTCTAAAACTTAAAAATGTAGCATCTGACTTCTCCCACCTGTTATCACAGATCAGCCAGGAGCGATTGATGAGGAGATATATGATGATGTCGACTCTCAAAACGTACCTCCCCTGCCTCCCCTCAGCAGGTACAGTTACATCAATTTAAAAATAAGAAATCCTTACAATAATTCCCAAACTGTCAGGAGATGGTTCACAAAAAAATAAGTAACCAAAGTAACTAAATATTATACTCAATTGTTTGTTGGTTTTGCTCTCCAGCCTTTTAACCCTGAAAGGCAAAAACAAGACAGAAGAGATGGACCCAAAGAAGCAGAAGAAGTTTGAGAAAGAAGAGAAGGAATTCAGGAAAAAGTTTAAAGTTTGTTTTTCCATCATGTCTTTAATCGTGTTCATCAATCCAGTCCTCTTACTGTCACACCTGCTGAAAAACAGCTCTTTAGTACAAAAACCTTTTGCTCCCTCATTTAAAATGTATTAATAATATTGCTGTATTACTTATTTTAATTCATTAGAATATTGTGTATAATCATAGTCAATATAAAGTTAAAACTTGATTTCTTAATGCTGCTTGCTTAGTGACAAACTATTTTTGTCATTTTCACTCTCTTTTAGTATGAAGGGGAGATACAGGTGCTGTACCAGGTGAACATAGTGCCAAATCTCACTAATAAGAAGTGGAGTGGGAAAGAGCTTCCAGTCAAAGCAGGAGAAAAACTTGACGTCATTGTTAAAGCTGTGGATAACAAACTGATCTGTCGGAACGAGGATGGCAAGAGTCAGTATCTGCTGCCCTTAACAGAATTAATCAATACATGCTATTATTTTATCCCTACTCTACTTAACACTAAATTGGACCACCCATCATTCCATCTAATGTCTGTCTGTCTGTATTTTACAGTTGGTTATGTTTCGACCAGTTACATTGTTACGGAGTAAGTACCACAAACACTCACACAGTTATAGTCAGAGACTAAATAATATAATATACTGCCTGTACTCATCATCAACTTTCATTTTCATTTCCAGTGATTGTGACATCTATGATGATATTGGAGATGGTATGTTAATCCAGTTAATCCTCAATTCTTCATCATTACATATATAAATTATATCAGTCGACCTTAATCACCATGTATAATACGAAATATTATGTTTTCCAGATTGCATCTATGACAACGATTAAGAAGCATCCTGCGTCGAATTTAACCTGAGAAGAAGCATTTTATACTGTTTTACATTTGTCCATGTTATTTATTCTGATTATTGGTGATATGCATTGGGAGCTGCTTTTGGTTAACCTGATAATCAGACTGAATAGTAATTTCATTTCCACTTCATTATTTATTCATCAGAATTTGAATTTCTGAATAAATTGTGAATCAGGCTAGCTTTAATTATTTTGAACAATGTCATCTTTTTACATTTGATTCTTCAAAAAAAAAAAACATCTTGTAAAAGTGGGAAACATTTGTTGGAACAACAGTATTTGCATATTTCTGTTTTGGACCACCTTTAGCAACTCCACAGCACTGTCTTTAAATGTTTGCTTCTATTGTGTAATGCAATTTTACAAGAATAGTTATGATTTGAAAACATGACTTGCTATTTTGTTTTTAATTAATGTCCATGATATGATACTATATGTATATTCCATTTTATCAGAGCTAACCGGTGTCTGTTTCTCAAGCTTCAACATGTAGACTAAATAACTTTGTTAGTGCCAATGTGTCTCTAAAATACTGTAAAAACAATTATGACATACATACAATTTTGGAAAAAATTGTATGTGGACCTGAATACAAGACATCAAGACAATGGTATTGTGAATTAAAGAAAGTTTATTCTAAAAACTTGCTGCTTGAAGATGGTGAGGATGATGATGATGAGAGGGAAGAAGAGGAAGGGTGGAGGGTTGATAGAGAGCTGGTCAATAGCAGACAGACAGACAGACAGACAGACAATCTGCAACTATTTTGATTATCAATTAATTGATTGAGTTAGCAAAAATACAATACATTTGCTAGTAACAGTTTCTTAATTGTGAATATTTATATTTTATACCATTGTAAACTTTTCAGTTTTGGACTGCTAGTAAGACAAAACAGGACGTTTGAAGAAGGGAAACTTTCTTTTTGTATAATTATCTGACATTTTGTAGTCAATCCCAAGTCACGTTCAATGACCAAACGAGTAACATAAACAGCCCATGAATGAATTTAGGGTGCCAACAAGTGGGGGAAATGCTAAATAATTCAGTAAAGTTATAAATCATGACTGACTAGGACTGTTCATACTGTAATAATAATAATGAACTTAGTTGTTAAAGACTTTAAGGTCGCGTAAGGCTGCTGCCACCTTGTTAACCTGCCCTAGACTACTACACAGACAATTTAGACTAAGTGATAGGTTCGTTAAAAAAAATACATATATTTTGAAAAAATAGTTTTCCAAATATATATTTTTGGTGCTTTGAGCTCCATAAGCAGAGTGCTGTATATATTTCCATTATATTCGAGAGAAACCAGATATCTCTAAGGCTGATATCTAACTCGAAACGTCATACCAAAACAATCTAGATGGATGAATAGCACAACAGGAAAATGGTGAAATGATGAACTGTACCTTTAAAAAAACTTATATTCCACACAAAGAAAAAACACTTTTGTGAGTTTGGTGAACACACCACAAATTCTGTAATTCCTAACTCAGCATTTAACTAAAGCTTTTTCACTTTCTACGAAATAAAACATTCTTATCCAAAATTTTATTTTGTAAAATATCTGCAACTTATATGAAGGTAAAAAAACGACTTCCGCCCAGTCCGGAAGTCACTTGCTCGTTTCACGATGGTTCCTCCTGTCGCAGTGTCCCCGCTCATCAAGGTAATAACTCAAATTATTCGCCTTGAAAGATTGTAATTGTTGTGACTTTTGTCAGCTTAAACGGAGCAAACTCATTTAAAACGCCAGCCTCATGAGTGTAGCTTAGGTCTTAAACGTTAGCTGCTCTAATAGCATGTTGGCTAATGTTATGCTAATGCTAGCAGTGACATTGAGAGGCTGCGCAGGTGAACTCTGTGAAATCTGGAGCCTCGTCCACACTATGTCTGATACTAACTTATTAAATATCATTAGCTAGTGGTTGTGGAGCTGTAATGATACCAGTGTGTCATTTAAGCGTTGTCCTGTTCAGCAGGAGGGGCAGAGGAAACTGAACTGAGCGTGTACAGTTTAGTCTTTTATTTTGTTAATGTCACATCAGTGAGTTACTGCAGTGGACTCTTGCTGACATGTCGCAGCTCCTCACTCTGTCGGCTGGTTTGTTTTCACTATTAAACATGTTTTTAATCATTGTGTTGCAGACGGCCAGGTGGTCGGCTCTGCTGCTCGGCGTCTTCTATGGCAAGCAGAGGTTTGGTAAGTTCGTGTCTGCGCATGCGCCACTGAGTGTACCTGTCAGTGTCCAAACTTCAAGGGCAGCAGGTTTCCCAATGTATTCACTCTAGTTACTTTAAATTAAAGCAGGTCTGATATTGATAGTATGAATGATGCTGAATTACATTTAGCTGCTTTAGTTTCACTTATGTGGTTATAATGATATAATGGTTTCTAATAATAATTGACTCTGAATCAGCTGCTATAACACTATAATTTCCCTTCGGGGATAAATAAAGTATTTCTATCTATCTAATTAGGGTTATATTTATGTAAGTAATTACAGTATTTATCAACATTTGGACCTGAACAAACAATTAAATGAGTCATATTTTACAAGTCTGACCATATCATTTCCCAGTGATCCACTCAAAACAATTTTAGATGTAAAATCTCAACGTTTTCTTTTTAAATATATTTATGAGTTACTTCTGAAACCTGCGTAAATTAAAACCGCCACACAGCATTTGTATAAAAAGAAAGTACCTCATTTTTACATCTGTTATTTGCTCCCTTCTTCCACCAGGAGCAAATGCTAGCAGTTGAGTTTTCATAAAAATAAATGTATGATTCATATATTAACTGCATGCCAGATTGCCTCCTAAATTACCATATGACTGGTTTCTGAGAAGCATTGAAAGGCTGTTTTTAAACAGTCTGGCGCAGTGCTCACTCCACATAAACACCCGGGTATACAGAGCTACTTTACATCGCTTCTGGCAAACTTCACATGGAACAATGAAGGCAAAACAGCATCGCTGATCTGGCCTGGCCCAGAAAGAAAACACATAACTTGTCAGCGTGTGTCTGTCTCTACAGAGTGTATTTTTAACTGGTAGGCGACCAACAACATTATCTTGCTTTCACCTTGTTCTTCTCTGCGTCACTCTGTGTCCTCGCCCTCATTGAAACTCAAAGAGAGCAGAGAAATGAGACAGATTTGTTGTTCACAATGTAGCATTATCAAGTAAAAGTCTTGGATTTTAATGCGTCAGAGATGCAGGATGTATTGCCAGAAGCTGAGTATCACTAAGTATATTCAATCTTGTAAGGTGTGTGCAGGGCGCTCGATGCCTCGATAGTCATTAGGATATTTTTGCACACTGCAAAAAGGTCAAATAAAAATGTTCACTGTTAAAATAATGACTGGTTGTGGTCTTATTCAGAGTACCTGAAGCCCATTGCAGAGGAGGAGAGGAGGATTGAGGAAGCAGAGAAAAAGGCCAGAGAGGAGCAGGAACGCATTTACAAACAACTGGCTGAAGGTAAAACACAAACACTCTTTATTCTTGCCTCTCTGTGTCTGTCACCTTTTTTATTGCTTGTTTATTCTAATGAGGCGCCACACAGTTCCACATTTTGTCCACAAATTGTCTTATTTACGTATTTTCCCCTCTTCTGTCTCCTCTCTGCAGCAAACGAGGACACCATCCTCAAATGAATTGTCTGTGGACCTGAGTCATTATGTTCCAAACTCAATAAAATCAAACAATATTTTTCATGTGATAATTGAAGTGGTCTTGTGTTATTTGTTGAGGATTTATCTGCATACTAAAATAGAAAATGACATCAAAGAACTTCATATAATCTAATTAGGAAGGGTCTTCTTTAAACACTTCACTTTTTCAAGTTCTTCAGGTGTAGAGTTGCACACAGACAGAACACACAGTACTGAGACAGTGTGGTAGTGTGTTGCGTAGCTGTCCTTCAGTAGGAGATGAGCCTGGGGTAAGAACATGGTTGTAATCCTGGCCTAGTTTAGCAGCAATCCCAGGATTGGGGTCAGGGACCAGTAGTAGAAAGTGCAGTGTGGACAGAAGTGTTCCCTCAATACTCTTGTGTAATATTTATAACCTTGATTATGAACTCTGGATTGCCTTAAAGCATTATATAGTACACACTGTGTTATATTTATGATGGCTAAGTGGCTGTAGATAATTTTAGTACATTTCAGGATGCTACATGTAACAACATTTCGTTTTTTAATAAGATATGTCTATAAAGTCAGTTTCCTCAAGTGGTAAATGTTATTAAATATTGTGGGTATCAAGTTACAATGTAATGTACATTGTAGTCTGTAAGCAAGTGTCAGTATCACAGGCAAGTAATTCACTCAGTTACCTCCATAAAAATACATTTTCTTTATTTAGGTCATTGTTGTACACATGGAGCGCATGAAGAGGCAAGCTTTAAATTACTGACCATAAAGAAAATAAAGTCTATTTAGAAATCTTGATGGATATTTCCACAGCATATTAGAGGTATTTATCGCCTAATGTTACATCATCTCTGATACACCCACTCTTTCTTTCCATATGTGGAATACATGATAAAAACCATATCTCAATCATTTAAGGTAATAAGAAACAACTTGATGACTCATTTGCCAGTGCTCACTAATTTTACTATTTTAAAAAATAAGCATCTATACTTCAACTAGAAAAATATTTTTTTTATATATTTACAGGGAGGAAGGAAATATGTACAAGTCATTACAAGAAGTCGTTCTTTTGTCTCAAACAGCTTCACTGTGTGTGCAGAAATACATGCAGATGCACGATGGACTAGTGTTTAACACTTGTCACAACAGTCCTGGTTTGTAGAGTTTGCCTGTTCTCATTTGTGTTTCCATTTCCTCTCACATCATTGTTAGCTATTGTAAAATACTCTTAATATTGCCCTTAATATTGCACAAGACACTGGCCTCAGAACTGTAATTAGTCCTCAGATGGAGCACTAGGGCTGACCCCTGCTTCTATTTAGGATGGGATCATTGCAATGGATTAATGTCCCTTTAGGGATTAATATGCGCTAACTTTTTGCTCCTGCTACCATATAATGTTTAAACTAACTGGAATTACCACTGAGGTCCAGTCATTCAGTTCAGCTAAAGTTAATCAAATGTACTAATTTCCAGAGTAGTAACTCGGTTTCAATGTGCTCTTACTTAATAAGACATTTGTAATTGTGTATTCATAAAATATAATTACATTTTAGCAACTCTCAGATGTATGTACAGTATAAAGGCATCATGAGAAAGCAACTAGAGGCTTGTATGTGGACAGTTAATTCTCTATGCCATCGCCCTAATAATTACATAAAGTAATCTTACTTTATAAAATACATCCTTTACTGCAGCGGTCTTGAGCTTGTCATCTACCTTTGGCTCTCTGCAATCAAGGTAAACAAACTCTCAGTTGTAAATGGTAAGTGACTGGAAGGAGTGAACATGAAGTGATCATTTTGAAATATTGGAATATATGTACAATAGTTCCGTAATAGTTCTATCTACCTGCATTTACATGCTGAAACTTTAAATAAATATTACATTAATGTACAATATACATGTATGTTATATACAGTCTACAGTGACTTGGGCTTTGCAGAAGAGAATTACTTAAATAGTGTGTTCACTC